TTCTAAAAAATTCCCTTTTGCCCTATAAAGGTAACCTTTCCAACTTCAGGGAGATTAAAAATGGGGGCATTTTGGCCGGCGCCGCGGCCCCCCTAGGGTTAATCCCTCCCCCTAGCGGCGCCGGCACCCCCGGGTTCTAGTCCGGTCGGGCGCCGGATCTGTCCGGTTGCCCTCTTCCAGGCCAGCCCTCTGCTGTGGCCCGGGAGTGCAGTGGAGGATGGCCCAGGTGCTTGGGCCCTGCACCCCATGGGAGACCAGGAAAAGCACCTGGCTCCTGGCTCCTGCCATCGGATCAGCGCGGTGCGCCGGCCGCAGCGCGCCAGCCGCGGCGGCCATTGGAGGGTGAACCAACGGCAAAGGAAGACCTTTCTCTCTCTCTCTCTCTCTCTCACTGTCCACTCTGCCTGTCAAAAAAAAAAAAAAAAAATGTGGACATTTGTAGGGGAGCCATTATTCAGCCTACCACAGCTATAAATGTCCTTAACAATAAAAATGTCCTAGCCGGCACCACAGCTCACTAGGCTAATCCTCCGCCTGCAGCGCCAGCACCCTGGGTTCTAGTCCCGGTTGGGGCGCCGGATTCTGTCCCGGTTGCCCCTCTTCCAGGCCAGCTCTCTGCTGTGGCCCGGGAGTGCAGTGGAGGATGGCCCAAGTCCTTGGGCCCTGCACCCACATGGGAGACCAGGAGGAAGCCCCTGGCTCCTGGCTTCGGATTGGCACAGTGCGCCAGCCGTAGTGGCCATTTTGGGGGTGAACCAATGGAAAGGAAGACCTCTCTCTCTCTCTCTCTCTCTAGCTCTGCCTGACCAAAAAAAAAAAAAAAAAAAAAAAAAATTTAAAAAAATTTAAAAATAAAAAAGTCCTAAGTACATTTATATAAGTACATAGGTATATGTATATATATATATATGTACTTATATATACTGATATAAGTACACTTATACTTTCCCTATGTAATGGACCCAAAATTGGGAACTATATTGAACATCTATGGCTTTTTAATTGCTAAAGCAGTGGTTTTAAAAATTTAATGTGCATGAGAATCCCCTGGAGAATTTAAAACAGATTCCTGGGGCTCAAGAATTTAGCTTCATAACAAGATTTCATACGCAGCTGATGCTGTTGGTCCAGAAACAAGCCCATTAAAAAAATTTTGTTACAGGAATGACCACATGAGGTGCTCTGCCAACCCACTGCAAAGTTAATATTGTTGGGAAATACATCAACATATTTATACAGGTATATTAGTTGGTCCACAAATACCCTGATTAATAAAGCTGGCTATTTTTGGCAAGATGCACTGTAACTCCTTAGTGGTTGATTACTGTGGCACTGTGTGGTGATGGACTGGCAAGTACTAAAACATGTCTTCCAGCACAGTATTTAAAATAATCTAGTGGAAAACAGGACTACTTTAATTATATACCTCTATACAATTATATCTACAGAGAAAAAGATGTGAAATAGCTTTAATTGCACTGTTAAATTCACACAGATATCTTGCTTTGAATATTTATTTTCATGGAAAAAATAAATGATAATATATTCATTTCACATGTATTACATTCAGCCATTCAAACTTCTTACCCATAAAATGTACACTCTTATAAACCAGTAACAGTTTAGAAGAATTAAGTTCTTCTGATAATAATCTTTATCTTATTGATCACCAGACAGTAACACAAAATTCCTCTTTGAACTAGAAAATAGACAATAATACTACCATTTTTATAAGGTGCATTGCTTTAATCATACAGCAATCTCCCAAGAAAAAATATTTAACTTTTCCCCAAGGTTTTGTTTTAGGCTTGTTAAGCATTTTAAATCATATTAACCTCTGTTGGAATTTGTATTTAAGTAGACTTGCTATATTTTTATTTTTACTTATTTGAAAGGCAGACCAGAAACAGAGCAAGCTCCCATCGACTGGTTCACTTCCCAGGTGCCTGCAGTGGTCTGGAATGGGTCGGGGCTGGAGCCAGGAACTCAATCCAGGTCTCCACATGGGAGCCTGGAATCCAGTTACTTGAGCCATCACCAATGCCAATCACCAGGGTCTGCATTAGCAGGAAGCTGGGATCAGGAGCTCCAGCCAGGAAACAAATCCAGGTACTCTGATGCGGAATTTGAGGGTCTTAACTGGTTAGGCTAAATGCTTGTCCCCTTCTCTGTTTTGCTAAGTTTACTATAGATGTGGCTTGGAATGCTTCCTTTTTAATAATACAGCACAGAAATATACAGCAAATTTGATTTTTTACTATGTAATTCTTCCTTCATCCGAGTTGTAGAGCTTTGTAATAAGTCAGAATATTTCCCTCTGTTAAGTACAACAGATATTCATGGAAAATATTGACTTAGTAATATGGTTTAAATGTGTCCCCCAAAGTTCATATGCTGGGAACTTAATCCCCAGCATGGTGGTAGTATTTGGGGGTGGGACCTTAAGTAATTAATTGATGTCACTATCTTGGGAATGTGTTCCTTATTGCAAGAGTTAAAGCCATTTCAGCCCTGTTTTGTACTTGCACTGCCTCTTCCTCTCCCTCCCCCACTCACCCTCCTGCATGGGGTGCTGCAGCAAGAAGGCCCTCACAGATGGGGGCCCTTAACCTTGGACTTTCCAGTCTCCACAGCTGTAAGAAATCATGTATCAGCTCGGTGCCAGTCAATCTGTAAAGTTTGGCTTGATATGTTGATAAATACTGCTATTTTCCTCTCCTTTTCAATGTGTTGCTTAGAAATTGAATATACTGATCAATATGTGATAGCTTAATTCTAGAAGTTAAGCTGCTTATCTTTAATTTGGGATTTGAAAAAAAATAAGAGGGCTTAAGTGCATCATACTAACAGTTTTCAAAAACATTAAGAATCATCCCTATATAACTATTTCTACAGTACCTGTATTGTTCCACCAATCAAGAGTGGTCGCAAAATATTGAACATTTTTCTTTTATCTTTTGGTTGGACTCACATTAGGGTTTTTTGTTGTTTTTTTGTTTTGTGTGTGTGTGTGGTTTTTTTTTTTTTTTTTTTTTTTTTGACAGGCAGAGTGGACAGTGAGAGAGAGACAGAAAGGTCTTCCTTTGCCGTTGGTTCACCCTCCAATGGCCACCGCGGCCGGCGCACCACGCTGATCCGATGGCAGGAGCCAGGTGCTTATCCTGGTCTCCCATGGGGTGCAGGGCCCAAGCACCTGGGCCATCCTCCACTGCACTCCCGGACCATAGCAGAGAGCTGGCCTGGAAGAGGGGCAACCGGGACAGAATCCGGCGCCCCGACTGGGACTAGAACCCGGTGTGCCGGTGCCACAAGGCGGAGGATTAGCCTAGTGAGCCGCGGCGCTGGCTCTCACATTAGGTTTAAGGATTTTGTATTATTTTTAAACTTGTTTTTATTCTGTTTTAAAAATACTCAGAAGAATATTTGCTTTTCTTAAGCTGTTTGTTGGATTGAACAGTGTTATACTGGTATTGCTCCAACAAAATACAAAACCTTTTCAGGACACTTAATTAAGATTAAATTACATTTCAAAAATATTACCATGGGTAACAGATTTGTCTTAGTGGTCCATTAATTTCAAGTGACTTCTAATAAACTTCCAGAATAAAATTGGATAGTCTCTTAGCATATGATAGCAGTCCGACCTGCAATATTTGCATCTAATGAAATGAGTGGCTAACCTTATATGCCTCATTAATTTGTTTTTCCCAGCTGATGAGTAAGAAGCTGGTAGTGGAAAGCAGGTCACCATTAAATAAGTACTAGTCTCTCATCAGCCTAACCCCAAAACTCAGGCCTCACAGATTCATATTCTGGCTAATCCAGATAATAAGTCAACCATGTGAATATCTCTGGCAGCATAGATCTGCTTCTAAGCGCAATGTATATGCTTACTTCACTAGATTTTTAGAGTGTAAATTTAAAATACACATGCACACTTAACTGCCAATAGTATTCATGCTTGACAGCTGAAAAAAAAGAAAGTATTATTTTGCTACATTTTAAAAACCACCTTCTAATTCAGTTAAAATTGCAGAGCTATTATACTGAAATCAGGCTATTTGTAAATTGCTATAGGCAGTGCAGCTACACTGTACTGTAGATTCAAGCCAAGGCATTTCACTGATATTAAATGGTCCTTTCATTTGACACATCACAAAATCATTTAATGGCAGTTAGGGAGTAATGATAAAAACATTTATCTACCTAATAAGTCATTTCCAGAGATCTGGAACAGTCTGTCAGCCCTAAGTTCTATAGTTAGAAGTTCAGTGATTCCTTTCTTATCTTATATTTGTACTTATATTATCAAAGCATAAATTCCAAGTATATTATTAATATTCCCTTTCTTTACCAATCAAAATAATGTACTCTAGATTTTTAAAAATTTAATATTTTAACTTTTTTTTAAAAAGTTTCTAATTATTTGAGATGTAGAGTTACAGAGAGAGGGAGAGACAAAGAAAGGTCTTCCATCCGCTGTTTCATTCCCCAAATGGCTCCAATGGCCAGAGCTGGCTGATCCAAACCCAGGAGCCAGGAGCAGCTTCTGGGTCTCCCACGCAGGTACAAGGACCCACGCACTTGGGCCATCTTCCACTGTTTTCCCAGGCCATAGCAGAGAGCTGGATCGGAAAAGGAGCAGTTGGGATATGAACCACAGGTGGAGGCTTAGCCTACTATATCACAGCCCTGGCCTATTTTAACTTTTCAAATTATATGGATAATTTTAACATTTTTGGAAATACCGCGTGCATGCAGACCTTAATTCACATGTATGTGAGCTAGAAATACTCTTTCACTTAGTATTTGCCTTGGAACTGCTGCTCCCTCAGCTGGGGGCTGCAGACCCTAGACCTCCTTCTGGGCCCAACTCTTCCCCTCCCAAGCCACTGACATTCCCAGGGAGGCTGGTGCAAGTGGCAGTAGGAGAGGCAGAATGCTGTTTTGCCAGTTCACCTTCCTTCATGCCCGCCTGCATCCCCGCTCAGTTCATCATTAAGTCCCGTTCTCCCACACACCACTCAAGTTTCTACAGCAAGTGCTGGGATACTTCTGGGATATTTACTTCCCATGAAACACTGACCAGTCTGACTTAAGCTGCTCCCTGAGTCAGCTACTGACTGGCACAGGGAGAGTGCATCCTCTTTTCTCACCACCAGGGTGCAGTAGGGAGAAAAGCTGCCTGCAGATCCTTGGAGAAAAGAATACAGCAACTTGGTTTGGACTATTGTTGCTTACCTTCCAGGCTCCCTCTGCCTTAAGTAAGCATTAGGGGGACGAGTTAGGAATGTGACCTCTCTCTCACTGGGAGTACTGTTTATAAAGGTAAATAATACTATATTGGGGCCATTACTGTGGCGTAGCAGTTAAAGCTGCCACCTGCCATGCCACAATCCCATATATGTGCCAGTTGCTCCACTTTCCGGCTGCTCCACTTCTGATCCAGCTCTCTGCTGTGGCCTGGGAAAGCAGTGGAAGATGGCCCAAGTCCTTGGGCCCCTGCACCCACATGGGAGACCCAGAAGAAGCTCCTGGCTTGAGATCATCTCAGCTCCGGCCATTGTGGCTATTTGAGGAGTGAACTGGTAGATGGAAGACCTCCCCCCACCCCCGTATCTGTCTCTCCCTCTCTGTAACTCTGCCTTTCAAATAAAATAAATCTAAAAAAATAAAACAATATCACAGTTCAATATACAGGTCAACTCTAAGAGCTGGTATTTTATTTGGGAACTGCCTGACATACAGAAAAGATACCCCTTTAACCATCCCAGAATGCCTTGAGATGCCCTTTAAAATCTTCCCATCCACCTATCCCCCCCAAACACACAAACTTTTAAGCTGGGCCTTCTGATTTTTTTCAATTTTCTGTAAGTAATTGTAGACAGTATGGTATATTAGCTATCTCAGCTCAAAAAAGAGCCTCTTACAATTTAGAATTATTTTTTAATTTTAAATTGGAAAGGGATAGCTTGAGCTTATTCCACATAAAACTTTGCAGGGGAACATATTCTCAATTTATGTCCAGATGAGTTCAACATAAAACAGATTCAGACATAAGAACTCAAGGCTGGCTGGCTTTTAGGCTCCAGGACTTACACCAGCATCCCCCTAGCGCAGCATCAGGCTTTCAGCCTTGTACTGAGTTGCACCTTCATCTTCCCTGATTCTGTGGCCTTCAGCATTGGACTAACGTTTTCCTGGCATCCCAGTCTCCAACCTCTAGATGACCTATCATGTGACTTCTTAAAAATTCTCTCTCTAGGGCCTGTGTTGAGCACAGGTTAAGCCTCTACTTGCAACACCAGCATCCCATATGGAAGCACTGGTTCTAGTCCTATCCACTCCATTAACAAACAGCAGAAGATGGCCCAGTACTTGGGCCCCTCCACACCCATGTCGGAGATCTGGAGGGAGTTCCAGGCTCCTAGCTTTGGCCTTTTTCTAGCCATTGCAGGACTAGAAGAGAGAAATTCTTTAAGATGTGTTTGTTTATTTGAAAGGCAGAGTAGCAGAGACTTTTCCATTTGCTAGTCTACTCCCCAAATGCCTGAAACAGCTGTGGCTGGACCAAGTTAAAGCCAGGAGCCCAAAACTCAGTTGGGGTCTTCCATGTAAGTGGTAGAGATCCAACTATTTGAGCCATTGCCTGTTGCCTCCCGGGAATTAGCTAGACTCAGGAGCAGAGCTGGATTCAAACCCAGGCACGCCAGTGTGGGACATGACAATCCCAAGTCACATCCTAACCCCTAAGCCAAATGCCTGCCTCACTGGGAGACTTCTCCACTGTCTTAATCATGGGAACTAATTCTCCAAATAAATTTTCCTTTTTTTAAAAAATAAATTTACAATAGTAATTCCTGTTTCAATTTGTGCAAATCTCAAATAATAAACCTGTTCTTGACAAGTTGCAGCTGACCTCCAGTTTAATTATATGTGGTTGCACTGTATATACATTTAAATTTTCTTAACACTGTGAACCTGTCAATCTATTGGAAGTAACTGTTTTATTCTTCTGATGAAAGCTTCACAGAAAATCGGGCCATGCCACATTGTCACTCAGTGTCAGTGAGCCCATGACACCCTCCCTCTTCTGTGTTTCTAGTCAGACATTGCCCTTTCTGGAAGTTTCTAAGGTAGCACAGGTCTAGCTTCTGTCTTCATCCTGTGAAAGTATTTTAAAGACCAAATTCTGGGGCTTCCTGAATGCTTCACAGTAGATGTTCCAGAAGAAAATAAATACCTGCAGATAACACTCCAAATAATATTCTAAAATAAGCACTTACTGTGCTTAGAACTGTCAACTGCATATTTCATCAAAAGACCCCACTAACCCGGAAAGCTGATGCCAGAGACATCAAATGAAACAGTAAAAACACTGGTTTATAACCTACTTTTTGTAAAATGTTATTAACTTCCTATCAAAATTATCAAAATGTATAGCAAGGAACTAAAAGATTATTAAGGCACATTGAAGCATTGTATCAGTTTGGCAGACAGTAACATTCTCAACTCAGATGTGGAAAACCTCATATTCTACTGTTTACTCTTGAAAACCACATTATTTCAAGGACCAGCAATAGATTTTTATTCAGAAATCCTTGCATAGTCACTAACCGCAATGAAAAATTTAGGCTCGTAGAAGCAATGTCAGACATGCAACATTTTAAGAGTGACAGATTTAAACATATAATTTGTCCTAAGAAATTCACTTATCAAAGTATTACGACTGGAACACAAATATACCATATATTACTCTTTAATTAGATTCTTGTTTTACAATGTTCTTATCATTGGGACACTTCAAAATGCTTAAATCTGATAGAAAAACATTTGTGTAAAACGTACCATTCAAAGAAAAAAAGCTTCAGAAAAATTCCTGTCCTGGATATGGTGTGGAGATGAGAAATACGACCATGAACTCTTATTCCCTTCTTCTGGGGAGCAGTCTCTCAGAATTTTTACTTGAGTCTGTTGTTCTTTAAACAAGACTTTTAAAGCAACTTTAGACTGACAATCCATATTTTGTTCCTAAGTGAGAAGTGTACCCATTTTCATGACTATCTTAATTTTATTTTTAGGTTGTTGGGTTCCAAGCAATTAACTTGGGCTGGCACATACTATAAAGAAGGAAATCCTATCTCAGAGCTGATAAGGATATTTAGTGTTCACAAGAGTGAGGAAAACTGCTTTACAGGTGACATGGGAATCAAAATGCTGACTAGAATGTTGTATTTGGGGAAACAGCCCTAGATGTGACGTTTAATAGCCTCAGAAGAAGGAAGGAGATGGCTCTCCAGCTACGTATGCCAATCTGTCCTTCCTGTTCAGCATGAACTATGAACATAGCAACTCTATGAACTGTGAACCTGGCCATCTTAGCCTGGCCACAGGCATACTTCTGCCCCTTAACTCAGCCTGGATCTGTCCCCTAGGCTGTACCTACACGGGAGGGAGTGGGGGACTGAGTGGCCATGGTGACCCCAGAAGTGAAATACAGGGATTAAGGAGCTAAAATTCAAGCACCTCTTAAATACCACAGCAATTTCTGGTGATGACAACTTTGGGCTGTGGTTTTGAGAGAAGAAATGAAATTAACTGTTCCTTTCTTTCACTCAAAAGTAAATAAAGGCTCTTCAAGGCTTCTTTTAAAGATAATGTAAACCTAAATTTATTCATAAGGAGTACAGGTTTAGGTGGAAAAACTCCGAAGAAACAAATTCAGGGATGGGCCTTGAACGCCCGGGGAGAGCTCTGTGGAGTCAGCCCCATGTGCCTCAGCCCCACTCTGCATCCCCAGTCTTAGTCTGAGTATGGATAATACTGTGTGTGTAAAGACAAAGGCATCCTGCATTGACCTCACACTCCACTTACTCTTGTCCTCGTCATCTTACATGCTCTTAATCCTCCTCTTCAGAAACACTTTTGAAACAACATCCATTGTCACTGTCTCATCTATAAAGCAACACATAGTAAAACTCGTATTTTTTTTGTTTTGAACAAAAAAGTGCTTAAAGCCATCCTATGCAATTGTTTTTCACTTCATTTGCAACCAATAAAATCAAACTCACTTAGGTTTACAATAATACTGAAAAATAATAAACCTGATTATTCTATTACATTTTAAATAATGTGCCTTCAGTCCCAATCTTCCTTTACATTAACCAACTCATTTCAGTCTTATTGAGTTGAGTTCTCGTTTGGAAAATACAGAAATTACAAATATATAGAAGTTTTAGGATAAAAAATTTTCTGAGTATAAAAATGCTTTCTGTGTTTCAAAATAACACTTTTAGTCTCCTTATAGTTTTGGGTTTGGTAACTAAACCACAAAGTACCCAAGGCTTTTTTTAAAAAAATAACAAAAGACAATAACATGGTTTTAAATACAAAGTTATACAGGAACCACTCTTATCCGCAGATTTTCACCACAGAAAATTCAGTTTCTAAGAAAACTCCTAAATACTTTAGTCACAAAATAAAACTCCATTATCAAAAAGTAGTTAAAGATAGAAATCTATGCACTTTAATGATTGCCAGAATTGCCCAGCTTAGCTTCAGTAAAATAGAGAATTGTCTAGAAAACACAATCTCCAAAATGTGTGCAAGTACTGCAAATCAGACAGACGGGGGCAGGGCAGTGCCCTCGGCCCACGCCCTCCTTCAGCACCGTCCCAGGGCTGCAGTCCCCTCTTCAGCCTGGCGCTCTGCGTGTCGCTCAGCGTGCTGCCATTCGTACGCATCACGCAGGTCCCGTGCACTGCTGTGTGGATCAGGTGTCGAGGAGAAAGGATGAATTAGGCAAGCACTTTTACTTTAAAGCTGTAAACGCCTCACGTGACTGGGTCCCTGTAAAAAGTTGTGGGAGCTTAGATGAGCCTGGAGCTTTTCAGGAACTGAATGAGAACTCTGTACACGAACGTGTACTGACAGAGGGTCTGCACCAGCATCATTCTCTGTTGCCTTAGCATGTCCAGGACTCTCGGGATGTCCACCACCTGGGAGGAGAGAAGCAGTGATGAGGGCGTGTGCTCCCCTGGGAGGCTGGTGTCTCAGCAGAACTGGGGGCAGGAGATGAACATGGCTTTTCTGCCTCAGCATCTGCTGTGTGTCAACAACCCACGACGCCTACTTCTGATCAGTGCTAACTGCAAACAGAGCGTCCATGTGTTACTTCTTCAACATTCTCTGAGCGAAGCTCACTGATCTGTCTGGCTGTAAATGACCACATGTCACCAGATAGCAAGATTTAACAGAAACACAGTGTGCCCAGTGCTATCAGTGTCTTCCTCAGCATCTCCTACACAGAGCTCCGCCTGGCACTAATGTCCTTGAAAAGTTAATGGGTACCCCAAGAATGAAGAGTTCTAAACTCAAATTTGGAAAATAATGGTAACAAAATTAAACAGCTTTTTATTCATTACGGCCACTGTATCTTCTATGCTAATACTGAGACTCCCCAAGGAGGCACAGCCTTTTGCACAGAACACTTAACAACAGCCTGAGCCTGCCACGGTCCAAGGAAATGTGTTCAACCGAGCTACTGGGGTGGGCACTGCCACAATGACTAAGATGCTGCTCGTGCAGCTGACATCCCACAGGAGAAGCCTGGGCTGCAGTCCTGGCTACACTTGAGAGTCCAGCGTCCTGCTAACGTGCACCCTGGGAAACAGCAGGTGATAGCTCAAGTACACATGTGGACGCCCTGGATTGAGTTCCTAGCTCCAGCTTTGGCCTGGCCCGACCTGTCACTGCAGGCATTTAGGAGATCTGTCTGTCTCTGTCCCTAACTGCTTTTCAAATAAATTATTTTAAAGATTTATTTATTTGTAAAGCAGTTATTGATTGGGCGGCGGCGGAGGGGAGCAGTGGAGAGGGAGACAGATCTTCCATCCACTGGTTCACTCCCCAAATGGCTGCAACAGCCAGGGCTAGGCCAGGTCAAAGCCAGGAGCCTGGAACTCCAGACAGTCTCCCATGTGAGTGGTGGGGGCCCAAGCACCTGGGGCATCTTCCACTGCCTTCCCAGCATCAGCAGGGAGCTGGATCAGAACTGCAGCAGCTGCACTCATATGGAATGCCACTCGTAAGTACCAACTTAACCTGCTGCACTATAATGCCAGTCCCTCAAATTTTTAAAAAAGAGTTCTTAGGTCACTCTGTGCCTCTCTTCTGAGCCTCATTCCTAGCTGCACGGGAAAACGGTCAGACTGCACGTGAAAGGCATCACCTCATTGTGTTCCAGACAGGCAATCATGATCTCGGACAAAATGACGACGCCGGTCCTCCCCACTCCAGCACTGCAGTGCACCAACAATGGGGGGTTGGGGCTTTTGGGTTCACTTGTGCTATTTGTATGGCGTCGAACAGACTGGATCTCTTCAAGGTATGCTGTGAAAAAAAAAATAATGAAATAGAAAAGTACTCAGGGATGACGGCATATCAAATTGATAACTCAGCCTTCCCATCATCCCATAAGATAGAGAGCCCCAGTGCCCATGAACCAATCCCAATGGCTGTGTGTAGATGTGGGCAAGTCCATGCCTCCACCTGGCCCACCTGCAAGATGAGATGGCAGAGTCCCTGAGAGGCAGTGCCAGCATTCTGTGGCCTACCTTGAACAACTCTTCTGGGATACCTTCCCTAAGACAGTTAAATTCTTTGAAAATAAGTCCAAAGCTTATGTGAGGCAACACAAAGGAAACGTCTCAGAAATGTAAGTCTTCCTGTCTAATGGCTCTAGAGGGGTTGCCCTAAGGAACAAGAACACTTACAGAGAAATCCCTTGAGGTCTTCTGGACAGCCGTGCTCAGGCCAGTCTGTGTACTGCAGGTGCCAAACTGTCCTCTCCTGCCCCGTGAGCAGGTGCTTCATCTTCAAGCCCGTGGTGGCGTAGCAGCCGGAGTCTGTGCGGAAGCGGGTCGTGATCTTAAACCTCCCATAGGTGACAGTGTTGTGCCTGGAACCCAGTCGTGGCCAATACCTGAAGCTCTTCTCCCTTCCCCCTTCCTGTTAAAGACAAGTATGTTGGGTAAAACCAGGAGATCCAGCAACAGAGGCCCCTTCCCACAGACAGCTGCAGCCTCAAAAGGTCAGGATTCTATGTGATACACATTAACTGTCTCGGGGGCTGCCAAATCAGTTAAGAGAAACGAGTACTTACCTCTTCTGCCGTCACCATTGCTATAATTGCAATGCCCTGTTCCCATACCATCTGCCAAAAATCCTGACAGGTATTCTGTAACGGTCCCTGTGTGGCAATATAATCCCATTCAATTCCACTGACAGAAACCTGAAATTAGAAAAGGTTAAAAAATTTACCGTGTGTATGTGTGTAATACATGAATGTGTTCATGTGTGTGTTCATGGTAGAACATGGTAGAATATTCAGCAGAATTAGTAAAGGCTTATATCTTAATTTTTTCCCTTGTCTGTACAATCTCTACTATTAATGTTTTTTTAAAAAGATTTATTTATTTGCAAGTCAAAGTTACGCAGAGAGAGAGAGAGAGAGAGAGGTCTTCCATCCAATGGTTCACTCCCCAGTTGGCCACAATGGCCAGAGCTGTGCTGATCCGAAGCCAGGAGCTTCTTTCAGGTTTCTCTCGCAGATGCAGGGGCCCAAGGACTTGAGCCGTCTTCTACTGCTTTCCCAGGCCATAGCAGAGAGCTGGATCGGAAGTGGAGCAGCTGGGACTCGAACCGGCACCCATATGGGATGCCGGTGCTTCAGGCCAGGGCATTGATCCACTGCGCCCCAGCACCAGCCCCCTAACATTTTTATGTACATTGAATTAATATCTATATGACCTGGGGTCATATGCTTAACCTCTCAATCTCAGTTCTCACCTATAAAAATAAAAATATTGGGGCAGGCATTTGACCTAGTGATTAAGACACATCCCACATTGGAGTTCCCTGGACTTGATACCCACTTAGCCTCTGGCCCCCTGACTCCAGCTTCCTGCTAATACAGGCCCTGGGAATTAGCGATGGTTCAAGTAATTGGGTTCCTGCCCTCTGTGGGAGAACTGGATTGAGTTCTTGCTTGCCAGCCTAGACCATGGCCCAGCCCCAGCTGCTGTGTGTGGGCTTTAGGGAGTGAACTAGCAGATGGGGAGCTCTACTTGCTCTCTGTCTCTCAAATAACAAATTTTAAAAATAATATTTCCTACCTGCCTAGAGTTGTTGTGAAGACTGAGTCAATTAGTATATATTATGCCTGTCACAAGATAAGCATTCAACAAGTAGCTGTTATGGTTCCTTTTGTTATAAAAATAATATTGGCTGGCGCCGTGGCTCACTAGGCTAATCCTCTGCCTTGCGGCGCTGGCACACTGGGTTCTAGTCCCGGTTGGGGCGCCGGATTCTGTCCTGGTTGCCCCTCTTCCAGGCCAGCTCTCTGCTGTGGCCCGGGAGTGCAGTGGAGGATGGCCCAGGTGCTTGGGCCCTGCACCCCACGGGAGACCAGGAAAAGCACCTGGCTCCTGGCTCCTGCCATCAGATCAGTGCGGTGCTCCGGCCGCAGCACGCCGGCTGCGGCGGCCATTGGAGGGTGAACCAACGGCAAAGGAAGACCTTTCTTTCTGTCTCTCTCACTGTCCACTCTGCCTGTCAAAAAATAAAAAAATAAAAATAAAAATAATATCAACATCATAATATTCCAAATTTCAAACATAATTCCCCTTCTTGAAGTACTAAACATGTGGCAAAGAATATAGGGAATTACGTCAAAACTCAAGTGAAACATCAGATTTCCAGGGAAAATTGCTTAATGTAATCTCTCACTTCTGAAATTCTGGGTCAAGATAAGCCTCCACAATATTACTAAAATTCTCCACTTAAGGTTTAACATCTTGGTACTAGCTAATACAACAGTGTAATTGCAGCCTATGTAGTCAGGAGACCTGTGTTAAATCACAACTCCACCAATAACATAATAACTACTCTCTGACTGCCTACGAAGTTTACAGGGCTGTGCCTAAAGCCCTGTTCCACCCACACCCTCATGTAAGGATGCCAGTGTCCCTGAGGCACGGCCCCACATCCTCTCCCCTGAGTACCCACCTACCCACTCAGTGGCTGGCACTGTGGATGGCTACAGGTTTTAACAGCAAACAAGCCGGGGGCAGGGGGAGAAGTGGGGTGGCATCTAATGGGAAGCCTACCGGGTAGGGATCATCACTTGTTCATTTAGAGATTAGTAAGATGAGGACACAGCTGGTGAGCGGTACATCTGGGAGTCAGGCCCGCATCTGTCCACTTCTGAACAGATACCAGGTTGTCTCTGCAGACTTGGAAGCACCACTGTGTAAGCACAGTGTTACTCGGTTCTTATCCATTCAGTCATGAGAGGCTAAATGAGTTATTCCAAAGCAATGCTTGGTTTAAAAATAAATTTGGCCCAATTTACAAAACAGAAAACTACATGCAGGTTCGCAGGGTAAGGCGGTCACTGGAATGCATGGTCTGCGGAAAGCCTCGGATGTCATCAAACATCTAAGAAAAACACCTGACCAGATACTTACGTATTCACTCACTATGCAGACGTTTCTCCTTCCCCAAATAAAGAATCTAGCCAGCATGAACCAAGGGCTATCTGGCTTTAGTCAGCCACCTGCTATGAAGTGTCAGCTTTTCCACGTGGATGGATGCAATGTTACCTCAGTTAAGTGACATCATACTCTTTTCAGGGGAAAAGTGCTTCTTTGAAGAGCAAAATGGTATTTTAAAGGACTATGTGGGGCGGGGGGGGGGGGGGGCTGGGGGGTGGACATGGCAGGCTAAGCTTCTGCCTGCAGCACCAGCAACCCACATGGGCACTGGTTCATGTCCGGCTGCTCCTCTTCCTATCCAGCTCTCTGCTAATGACCTGGGAAAGCAGTGGAAGACGGCCCAAATGCTTGGGCCCCTGCACCCACGTGGGAGGCCTGGAGGAGGCTCCTGGCTCCTAGTTCTAGATCAGCCCAGCTCCGGCCATCACAGCCATCCGAGTACTGAGCCAGCAAATAAAATACCTTTTCTCTCTCTGTCTCTACCTCTCTCAGTATACAACTCTACTTCTCAAAATCTTTTTTTTTTTTTGAAAGACTACGGGGAGCTTGCAGAGAGAAAAGATGGCACCTTAGTAAGTAAAAGCTTTTGTGAACACCATCAGAAAGCCCAGACATGTTATATAGAGATACACAGCAGTATGTGGTGAGGTAGAAACAGCATTTCAGTAGCTCCTGAGAAAATTTATGAGTGAGGAGAAGCGTTCAGGTTTAGGATAACATTCTGAAGCCAGTTAATAGAAGCTTCCTATGTCTCGTCTCTTCTAACAGTATTGGGCACAGAGCAGTTTCCCGTGTGGAGAAAATACATGTGATTTTCACTCTGTCTGATAAACACTTTTCACCTAACATCAGGGTGGTTCAAAATTGGGGTGTTTTTAGAATAAAATTGGGGTGTTTTTAGAATACAGACTTGATACCTTCTTGTACCTTAACCCAAAACTGTATGTGCCGTTTATCAGCCTAGACGTTTCCCTCACCTTAATATGCGATGCGTTGATGTAGCCAGTATTGTTTTCTTTAGTCGGGACCAGCTCTACTCTGGCATCGTCGTAGGGAAGGACGTCTTGGAATCGGTTTCTTTCTGCATTTTCAGGGAGCCGCGCTATGGAGCATTCTCCATCAACTAGTCGTTTTTTAAGAATTCTTTCATACTCTGTGAATACCATTCCCTGTTCTAACCGTTGTTCCAGGATTTTACACTGTAAAACAGAATGTGTGGGATACAATGAATACAGTCACATGTCACAGCTGCATTTTAATTGTCCATCTGAAATCCCGTTTTATACTTCAAGTCCAGAATTATCTAATATTGAAAACCTAGGTGAAACCAAAGTTAAAATTTTAAGAGTTACAAGATCAAAAGATAATCTTGGTGAGAAATATAATTCTGCACTCTGTTTAAAGTTGAAAATTGGCCTAAAGCAATTTGTTGAATTTGTTTTCTGTAAATCTACCATCAGTTTTGTGACCTCTATGAAACAGAGTTCTGGAGGACAGTAAAAATCCTACAGCAGGATAGTCTTCCAACATCCATACACAAACGTTTACATTCTATAATGTATGATCCATGAAACATTAATAAAAGCAGTAGTCCATATGGAAACTACCTCCAGAATGCAGCTTTAAGCAAATTTATGCTGTCTCATTTCTTTGTAATAAAATCTATAAAAAGTACATCTCAGCAGTAAAGAAGTTTTGAAAAATTTAAGTATCTGCTTTCAAGATAAATTTTCAATCTACTGAAAGCACTCAATGTCTGGTTTCTTTCCTATATATATCCAATATATTTGTAGATTTCTTCCCAACTTAAGGCCACCAAAAGTTATGACTGCCCCAAATAGCTGGAAGAAGGCAAAGAAGATTCAGAAACAAAATTAATCAACATTCAAGGCTGAAATTTAAAAATCCATAACATTAATTTATGAATACTATGTTCAGAATTCTCTAAAATCCCATAAAGGCAGTTTTGCGGTTTTACCAAGCGTCCAGAGAAAGCAGGAGCCCCGGTCACTCACCCTTTCATCGTTGGTTGCTCGGGAAGGCATTTCCTTCCCTTCATCAGGCAGAGGCAGCCGGGAAAGAGAAAGTCCATTCAGGGCTGCCAACTTAAGAGGACCAATTTTTTTGGCATCTCCTCGAGTCTTTTTCATTCCCTGAAAAAAATACGTGTGTCTTTGAAATATACACAAATACAATCCCTTTGGAAAGAAAGTCCAGTGAGCTGAAGACTAGAAACAAAGGGAGTGTGTTCTGCTTTGCCAACAAGCACAGGAGAGAGCCCACTCCTTCACACATCATTTGCTTAACAAATATTAGGAGGAACACATTCCTTTCAAGGCCAAACCCCTGATAGGTCTTCCAGATAGAACCTCTTGAAACTCAGTTGGTTACAAGGTTCTGTTGCAATGAAAGGTGAGGCTCCAGGCAGGCAGCATTCCTTCAGAGAACTCCCAACTTTCAAAACAGGACAAGACCAGCAGCAGTCCACAAAATAAACAAACAGATAAATGCAATCACTTATTATAAGCTGTCATCATCTTCTTTAAATATAAAATTACTGAAATCCTCCTGTTAACAGCCAAGATAAGCTGGCTGCAGCACTTCCTTACCTGAAAATGACTCAAAATGCCCCGCACTGTCCCGCCTGGGGTCAGTTCAAAAGTCAGTATTTGAAGAAAGCTCCCTAGTCAAAACTGACTCTGAGTTATTAGCCCACAGAGCACATGTACAATGGTCCACAGTGATTTCTTAGGTGACGATCGCTGCACAAAACTCAAGTCTTTACACAGATGGAAAAGCACCCAAACCAGACTCCCTTTAAGATAACAATCAAGTCTCAGGTGATGGAGATGGGTGGGGAGTTCTACCATGCTCCTTCCTATCCGCAATTTATGTCACTGTTTTTAATTCTAAACTTCCGTGGCGTTAATCTACATTAGTATGTTTATTTAATTGTAATGAAATAAAGATAATGGCAACCTCATGTTATGATAGAGATTCAAGGGTTTAATAGGGACCTGGTCTCTTCAACTCTTGGGAAGTCACTAAGTTGGACGCATGCTATAACCTTGGAGTTAAGTCACTGAGTTAGATGCATGCAACCACTCTCTGGAGTTATCTTATTTACAAATAAGAAAACTAAGTTGGGGCCCAGGACTGGTGCTGTGGCATAGGTTAAGCCTCCGCCTGCAATGCCAGCATCCCATATGGGTGCCGGTTCAAGTCCCAGCTGCTCTGCTTTGGTTCTACTCCCTGCTAATGTGCCTGAGAAAGCAGTGGAGGATGGGCCAAGTTATTGGGCCTCTACACCCACTTGGGAGACCAGGAAGAAGCTCCTGGCTTCAGCCCGGTGCAGCCCTGGCCGTTGTGGCCATTTGGGGAGTGAACCAGTGGATGGAAGATCTTTCTCCTCTCCTTGTATCTCTCTGCCTTTCAAATAAATAACCTTAAAAAAGAGAGAGAAAATACTAAGTCACAGAGAGATTAAATAGCTTCCCTGATGTCCAGTGACTGCCTCTCTGATAAGGTACTCAGTGCTGGATCATAATGCAAAAGGCACTTCTCCGTGCTCAAAGCCGGCCGAGCAGGGGCAGTGTCCCCGTGTCACAGGCATGGAAGCGCAGGTTCTGACAATGAAGGCCCCGCCCACTGAGCAGAGAACTCAGGGCAGGGCCAGATTCAGACGCGAGGCTCATCAGCTCAGGACGCGGCCTCGTGCCCCTGGACCACCACTGCCAAGCACACTCTTCTAGGCAGAGCGGACGGAGCCAAAAGCAGAGGCCACTTCATAGTTTTATTAATACTACAGGTCTTAAAATCCATCAAGAGGAAATGTGTATTTTATGAGAACCAAATTGATCAGAATTCTCAGATTTAGCTGAAACTGCCAGGCCCCACTCACACCAAACCAGAATAAAACAGGCTGGAATACAGGGCTGTACTTGGGGAAGTATTAGGGCACATGTAATAACAGGCGGTTCTTATGGCGATGCGGACGGCGTTAACGGTGTCGGCTGGCTCGGCAACTCCAGCAGTTACGGGAAAACCCCATCCGCATCCTAAGTCCCTGCTCATCAGCCCGCACCCTTGGCCTCAGCCTCCCCTGAGGCACTGGCCTTTACTGTTGGGTAGGAAAGACTGTACCATCAGGAAAAATTAAACTTAAAATTGTCGCTCCCCCTCTTCGTGGAGGAGCAACACTAAACCCTGCCTAGGCTTCATATCCGAGTCACGGCACCATTATGTCGCTCCCCCTCTTCGTGGAGGAGCAACACAGGACCCTGCGCTGTTCTTTCGTCTGCTCAGCCCTCCCCGGGTTTGCTGCTGGTTCTTCCCGGGTTGGCTACTATCCCTTCCACCTCCGTGGAAGGGCAGTTCCCCCTGGCCACATTCCCCACTTCCGCAGGGGAGTGGCACACCGCCGGCCGGCTCTCTCGGGGGCTGCACAGGTGTTCCTTCAGCTAGATGTTCCCCTTAGATGTTCCTGGTGCATGCCGTCTCTCTCCTCCTTTATAGTCCTCCTCCGCCAATCCCAACTCGGCTGCCCACACGCCGAGTACGCTGCTCTCCAATCAGGAGCAAGTCCTACAGTTAATTGGTTGAACTGGAGGCAGCTGTGCGGAAGCTGTTTTCTCCTCTCCCAGCGCCATATTGTAGGAGAGCAGGTGCATAGAATAAGTCTTAATTCCAGTAACAGTCTAGTCCGAGCTGCTCCCCACAGAGGAGAGCAGATGCATAGAATAAGTCTTAATTCCAGTAACTTAGTCTAGTCCGAGCTGCTCCCCACAAAAATCAAACCTAAAACTGACAGAAAGAAAACACATCGAAACCACTGGCAGTTTTGTAAGTAGTTTCTGTCCATGTATACTGGTCTCTTTCGTAAGCACTAGCGTATCACAAAGGTTTTTTCCTGCCTATCAAGATGTATGCAACCTCTCTGAGGACCTCATACACTAGGCCAGAACCACAGTGGAGAAGCCCTGAACTCTGAGCAGGCCATCTGGCAGAGATGGGAACGAGAGGCCTGGCTGCCAGGACACTGGGAGCCAAGGGCAGGCAGAATTCCACATCGCCACGGTCTGGGGCACCTGCAGGGCACGGGGAGTGGAGATGCAGGCCATGGAGCCAGCGTCTGGACAGTGCAGAGCAGACCCGCTTCCCGACAAGCCACAGTCAAGGGCTGAAGATGCAAGGTTCAAAAGTTTTGGTCAAAAGACAGAATAGGCAAGGCTTCAACAATTATTACCCCATAAAATATACAGTATAATAGTTTATTGTACTGAAGAGCAGTTAAGACAACGAGAGAACAGGCTGAGAGACAAATACGGCTTTAAGGTTCCAGCTCAGTGTTTTCTAGTTGTGTGACCTTGGAAAAGTTACTTTGTACCTCCCAGTCTATTTCTCCATCTGTGACATGGGGAAAACAACAGGCCTGTTTTAAATTCAACGTGGTGAAGTGCAAGCTGACTCCACCCAGACTCTGGCCTTCAGAATTATGGGATGGATTATGGATTAGCATCCCTGGATGCTAACTGCAGACATCGCTTGAGCAAAGCGAACACACACAGCCTAGGGGTGCTGTGTCTCCATGCTGTACTTTTAATGGGTGGCTGTCACAGAAGTCTCGGCTGGAATCACCAAATTTTCTCTCTCTCTTTTATTGTTCTTTTTATTTTGACAGCAGAGTGGACAGTGAGAGAGAGAGAGACAGAGAGAAAGGTCTTCCATTGCCGTTGGTTCACCCTCCAATGGCCGCCGCGGCCGGCGTGCTGCGGCCGGCGCACCGCGCTGATCCGATGGCAGGAGCCAGGAGCCAGGTGCTTTTCCTGGTCTCCCATGGGGTGCAGGGCCCAAGCACCTGGGCCATCCTCCACTGCACTCCCTGGCCACAGCAGAGGGCTGGCCTGGAAGAGGGGCAACCGGGACAGAATCCGGCGCCCCGACCGGGACTAGAACCCGGTGTGCCGGCGCCGCTAGGCGGAGGATTAGCCTAGTGAGCCGCGGCGCCGGCCCTGGAATCACCAAATTTTAACTTGCTTTCCTTCACAGTACATCATCAAAGTCCCGCTCACTCGCTCCCCGCATTCCACATTCACCTCCACACTGCATCCGTGTAACTGATCCAGCAAAACCACCAAAACTCTAACTGATCCCGACTGTTTCTATCAGCTGTGCTCAAGACAAGACAGAAAGTACTGTATTGGGGTCAAAAGCAAAGAAAAGGGGGGCTGGGCATTTGGCACAGTAGTTAAGCCACTTGGGGCTCCCACACCCCATACTGCCGTGCCTGGTTAGGGTCCCAGCTTCCCTTCTGATCCAGCTTCCTGCTAACGTGCACCCTGGGAGGCAGCAGGTGATGGCTCAAGTGCTTCGACATCTGCCACCCATATGGGAGACCCAGACGGAGGTCCAGGCTCCCACCCATGTGGGAGACCCAGACAGAGGTCCAGGCTCCCACCCATGTGGGAGACCCAGACGGAGGTCCAGGCTCCTGGCTTTGGCCAGGCGGGCCCAACCCCAGGTGTCATGAGTATTTGCATGAACCAAAGAATGGAAGATCTCTGCCTGTCTCTCTCCCTGTTTCTTTCCCTTTCAAATAAGCACAAATAAATAAATACCCAGGACGAAGGACGCTCTTTGCAGTGTCTGAGGCACATCCATGCTTACCCCGAGTGGCGGGAGGCCTTCCACGGTGTTCTTCTTTCCAGACAGGAGGTCCGACACCGGCCTTTTCTTCAGAGAATCCCTCCTGGCTCGGTATCTCCCCGACGTCGTGAGGTCAGACTCGGACATGGAGGGCGTCAGCAGCCCATCTCTTCTGGGCCGCCGGGCGTCAACGCTCGGGTGGACAGGGCTGATGTCCCTGACCCTCTGCTCAGTCTCTGCGATGTGGGACTTGGGCTCGAGGATGTGCAGCGGGCCTGCGACAGGCCCGACGGAGGCATAGGCACAGCTCAGAGGTGGCTCCTGGGAGTAACCGCCCTGCTGCCGGGGCTCCTGGGCACCTGCGGGGAGGCTGGCCTGGGCCTTGCTTTCTTCTTCAAAGTCCTCCTCTTCCTCACTGCTGTGTATCAGCATGGTGGCATCCGAGAGAGACTTCTGATGGCCATATCTCAGGCTCTCCCGCTCCTCGGGCTCTTCTTGTTTCGTCCTCTCAGTGAAGACACTGGGCTGGGAAGAGATGGCCCGCGGGGCCACATCTGCGGCCGACGCTGACATGGTCCTCTCCTTGAGCCTCAGGCCCTCGAAGCCGTGGCTCAGCCCTGCGATCTCGATGCTGTTCCTCTTCTGCAGCTGGGCGTGCCGGGCTGCCGTGAGCGGCTCGCTGACTTCCTGCAGAGAGTGAGCCACCGGCAGGCTGTCCTCTTGGAACGTCTGGACCGAGTGGTGGACGCGCCTGGTGATGAGATCCGGGTTGCTGCTGCTGATGTAGAGGTGACGGGACAGGTCTGGGGTGCTGTTGGCGGGCCTCGGGTACGGGTACGGTGGGGGTGGCCGGTACACTTGGGTCCTCATGATGTTTGCAGCCGGGTACTCCTGAGCCTGCAGCTGCACGTTGGTCAGCTCAGGCACACTGACCGCCCCCACCACCGGCCGCCGCTCAGCAGGGTAGGGATAAGGAGACTGGCTGTGGAAGCTGTAATTCAGGTTGAAGGGATAGTGGGCCGACTGTGGAGAGGCGAAGTGTGCATGATCCCGGATCTCGGGCTGGCTGTAGACCAGGGCGTCGGGCCTGCTGTATGCATAGGAGTTGCCGATGCTGAGGTTTCTCAGCGAGTGGCTCTGCCTCTCCGCGTGCACCATGCCCCTGTTGAGCTGCTTCATCACAGTCTCGTAGTCTGGGGTCGGCCGGTACGAGGGGGGTATCAGGGCGCTGTGGCGATGGGACGGGACGTAGTCGGGTCGCATGACGTCGCTCCCCGTGATGCTGGGGTTGGAGGACATTGGGGAGGGCTGCAGGAAGGGCTGAGGGTTATTTAAGGAGTTAGTGCTGTGTGCGCTGTAGACACTGCCGTTTCGGATTCGGCCGTTGAGGTCAATCTGGGCTCTATCCAAGCTTGTCTGAGAGTGACAGTAATATCCATTCTGGCTGGGTACAAAGAGGTTATCTGTAAAAAAAACAAAGTGTGAAATGTAATTTTAAAATGACATTTTAGAAAAAGGTATTAAATTGGAGCAGTTGGTCCAGTCAAACAAAGAGTAAGTCCTGAGTTTGGATGACATCTTCAATAGACAGCTTGTAAAACCCTGCCCAAAGCACGTGGCTTCACCCACTCCGAGGGCCCATGGGGGACTCGGCTTCTTCATACGTAGCCCGGAGGGGACCCTGCCTACATACAGGGTGGTGCTCAGGATCAAGCACCCCATAAAGACTGGCCAGACTTAAGTCCAATATTAAGAATATAGCTGTACCCGGTCGGCGCCATGGCTCACTAGGCTAATCCTCTGCCTGTGGCGCTGGCACACCAGGTTGTAGTTGGGGCGCCAGATTCTGTCCCGGTTGCCCCTCTTCCAGGCCAGCTCTCTGCTGTGGCCCAGGAGTGCAGTGGAAGATGGCCCAAGTCCTTGGGCCCTGCACCCGCATGGGAGACCAGGAGAAGCACCTGGCTCCTGGCTTCAGATCAGCGCAGCGTGCTGGCTGCAGCGGCCATTGGAGGGTAAACCAACGGAAAAAGGAAGAACTTTCTCTCTGTCTCTCTCTCTCACTGTCCACTCTGCCTGTCAAAAAAAAAAAAAAAAGAGTATAGCTGTACCCCAGAACATTGTCTTTTTCTGAAAATTAAAAACGTATTACTAGAAACACAAAATGGACCGTGTGGACCTCAAGGCCAATACTGCTGAAGGCACTGAGCCACAGACTCTGCTCTCCCTGCCTGGCAGAGATGTGGCTGATGAGGATGAGCTCGTTCTAGCACCAACTGCCTGTAAACATTTCCTTAACTGGAGTTTCAGATCGCCTGTGTAGCTTCTTCCCGAATGAACACTTCCACCCTAACCAGGCAAAGAAACAGCAGGATCGGAGCTGTTCCCATCCCACAGTGTCACCGCGGCTGCACACCCTGGAGGCCCAGGATCCAGAAGAGCCCGGCTAACACAGCTGCACTGCCCTGCCCTGCCCCTGTGCTGCAGGACGACTTGGACCCACGAATCAGGAATGTAATTGGATTTTACAGCCGTGTGAGGATGCCTGTCCCGCCTGGAAGGGGCCTATCTGCTCACCTGAAATGCTGGTACCAGGAGTCCTTGCCAGCACTGCAAAGAAACTTAGTAGCAGTCAAGTCCAAAGGAAGAAGCCCCTGTGAGAGGCATTCCTTCTGTGCTTCAGAAGCTCCGTGAAGTCCCAAGTGGCAACCGAGTCTCAAACTGGCATACCACAGAGCCCTCTGTCCTGGTGGCACCCCCAGCCCCGCTGCGCTCCTGCCGGCCCACAAGGCGCCCCTGTCGCTGTACTTTTCCCACTCTGGAACACCTGGCCGTCTCCTAGCCCCTGGACTCTCCCTTGCCTCTGCCGTCAAGGCTTGGGTCCCTCCCCCAGCTTGTCTAGACCAGCACGGCACCTGGCTGGCTGGTGTCCCTGCCTCCATCCCTGCACCCCTCCACTTGGCCGTGTGTGGACTAAGAGCAGAACAGGGGGCAGGCATGTGGCCTAGTAGGTAAAAAGCTGCTTGGAATGCCCACATCCTCCGTCACAGTGTCAGAGTTCAAGTCCCGACTCCAATCCCGACTCAGCAAAAACTACCCAGGCCTTAAGGTCTCTAAGTCTTCATAGATTTATTCATAGTAATAAGAGCAGGAAGCACTAGAAAATAGAGTACCTTACCTTGGGAAGAAGCATATGGCTCTGTGTAATGTCCGTTATAATGCAGCTGGGGCGGGGGAGGCATCACATAAGGCTGGGGGGGTTTAGGCTAAGAAATGGAAATAAAACATAAGGTTAAAACACATCTTCATGTAACATGGGTAAAATAATTCTCTGCTGGATTCTTTCCCTCCATTTAAAAAATAAAAAAGTCTAAAGGAGTTACACAGATTACACATGGAAGATAAACTTGGAGACACAGTAGCTTTCATTTTCAGTGTTCCCCGTGTGGCCATGCCAAGCCTTACATACAGAGTCTGAGGACACTAGAAGTACCAGAAAATCTGCATCCAGAAAAGTTAAGAGCAAGAGGCAGGGCCGGCGCTGTGGCATAGCAGGTTAAAGCCCTGGCCTGTAGTGCCAGCATCCCATATGGGCACCAGTTCTAGTCCTGGCTGCTGCTTTTCCAATCCAGCGCTCTGCTGTGGCCTGGGAAAGCAGTGGAAGACAGCCCAAGTCCTTGGGCCCCTGCACCCACATGGGAGACCTAGAAGAAGCTCCTAGCTCCTGGCTTTGGATCGGCGCAGCTCCGGCCCTTGCAGCCATTTGGGGAGTGAACCAGCGGATGGAAGACCTCTCTCTCTGTCTCTACCTTTCTCTGTAACTCTTTCAAATAAATAAAATAAATCTTTAAAAAAAAAGACCAAGAAACAATAAACACAAGTTGCCTCATATAAATATGTGAGGATAAGAAGCTTATATATGGGCAGGTACTGTGGCACAGCAGGTTTAACCACTGCTTTGGACACCCACATCCCATAACGAACTGCTGGTTTGAGTCCCAGCTTCTCTGCTTCTGATCCAGCTTCCTACTAGATGTGCCTGGAAAGCTGTGGACAATGGTCCAAGTATGTGGGTTCCTGCAACCCATGGGGGAGAGCTCTTGGCTTCCATCTGGCCCATTTGTGACTGTTACAGGCATTTGGGAAGTGACCCAACAGCCGGATGTTCTTTCCATCTCCCTGTCATTCTACCTTTCAAATAAACAGTTCTTAAAGCAAAGCTTACATGTAGCATATTCAAGCTTATTAGACAAAGTCATCTAATATTTTAAATGTCTACCAATGTATGATTACTCTTGACAAATAGTCAAAAATGTTAGCATCAGATTAAACCTAATATTTAAGTACATATAATTACATTATATAAATGTTAGTTGGACCTATGGAAAATCACCATTTCTTCGGTTAAAAAAAGTCAAAGATCAGCACACTTTTATGGCTCAGACTCAAAACAAAAACTAGCAAGAGCAGATTTTATTACACCTATTTTGTATATTTATTACAGAATAAAAGCAGTCACACTTTCTTACCAGAGACATCCTGGAGGAGGACCTTCTCCTGATGGGGTTCACCGCGACGGGCTGAGTTTGCCTATAAAATAGGATGCCTTTGAAAAGAGTGCACACATGTTTCCTAACATAAAAGGGGAAGACGGTCAATCTTCCAAACACAAGCAAACCCAAAACTAAACCATTCGCAAATTAGCAGAAAGAAACAGAAATTTCCTTTGGCCCCGTGGGCCAGGACCCTTCCCTGCTGCCCGAAGCTGCTGGCACCACACTCGGTGCCAAGGCCCCTCTCAGAGCATCGCCAAGAATTGCAGGTGCACCCTTCCCTGGCCCTCACAGCTACGACCCCTGCAGGGGCCCTCAGCGGGAGAAAAGAGACAAGCTGTGTCATCCAGGAACTCATCCCAGGGGAGGCAGGCTTGGAGCAACTGTCTCTCTCCCCTGAGCTCGGTCAGCACCAGCACCTCCACCACAAGTCCTGGGGTCACCACAGCTGCCTGGCACAAGCCTTGGCAACAGCTTGTGGTGAACTCACTTACACTCCTTTGCAAGAAACATGCCTGTGCTCTGTTTTAAATAGATGTTTTATTAAGACAATTTGGCAAAAAATAAATTTAAAAATTAAAAAGCAACTAAGAGCGTTAATGAGTACTGACTCACATGTACGTGATAATTTTTTTAAATTACTCACACAAGTTCCATCTTAGAATAAACAAGTAGGTAAAAAGGAACAAGAAACCATAAAGTGTACTTGTAACTTGATTGCCTTTAAGTAGGCACAGGCCTTTTTTGGGTTTTGTGTGTGGTCAGTTTTACTGAAAATCAGATCTCAGAACCTGAACACAAATGGGTTCTTGGCTGTGTGGGTGACTTAGGTAATTTTATCAAAGCATTTTTTTTAATCATTTTTCCAGCTGTTCCTGGCTCAGGAGTTTATGTGACCCCTAATTACTAATTACAAAAATCTTCTGTGATCTTTGGTCATGTGTTCTAAAAACTGTCAGAAAATTCATCAACACAAAGTGAACATTCGATACATTTTAATCAGTAAATTGACCACAACAGGGAGCTTCATGTCTCAGAAATCAACATTTTTCATGGCACTCTAGTATCTGATACCTTTTACTCAAACCTTGAATATTAGCTTTTTTTAAATAACACTTTTGAGCTAAAATGAAAACTAGTGCCATATTAGGATTTTAACCTCAGGTGACCACAACTGTTCTGACTGGTTGACTTTTAAAAATAATTTTACTTTACTGGAAAGGATTCAGGTTGCTGATGAAAAGCAGGTGCCTTTTTTCTAAAGGGTGTGCCCTCTGCCCATGCTGGCAGCGAGCCAGTCCTACACGGGACAGCTGGGCTGTTCTTCATTTCTGGGACATTCCTTAACTAAACATTAAATATTCCTGCAAACTCGCGTCCAGAGTTTTGCCTCTGGTCATTTTCCATTGTCATGCCAGGGGAAATTGGGCAAACAGTGTCCCTTGAACTTTACATTCAGTCTATCAGCAGACTCACGGTCTAAAAGGACTGAACTTTGAAAGTCCTATCAACCCAGAAATGGAGACATACGGTTGTGGACAGAACCCTCTACCAACCAACCCTAACCATGTGGCCCAGCTGCCCAGCCTGCGGAAGAAACAGAACTGAAGTGCATCTAACACAAAACCCAAGGACACAGAGCTTAGGAGCACGGGCGGCAGCTCCCATGTGTGACAGCAATCCCAGCACCCTGGCTGGCAGCACCCAGAGTGGAGGCGGACACTGCCCAGCGCAGGTGCCGGTTCTACTGAACACCAAACCAACCAGTTTGTCTTCTGCCTGCCAAACTGTGTGATCCAGGCAGCCTCGCCATCAGTGCTAACACCCTGACCTCTTTCTCCTTGACACGGTGCCAGTAAACGCGGTTTAATCCGTGATCAGCCATCCTCACCCCAGCACACAAGAAACAACAAAGTCCCTGTCGGATGGGACTTTCAAACTTGGTGGGCAGTGACTATGTTGTTGGGTGTTGATAAAAAACAAGACAACTGAAGAATTCTTAAAAGAAACCACTACAATGTGTGCGCTAGACAAGGCCATCCATAAGCCTATACCAGCCCAAGGAAAAGAAACATCACCATCAAAACCGCACTAGGAATGTCCATGACTATCAAGGAATCTGAACACCAACCCCAGAAGCGAGAGCCAGATATTATCCTGACTGTACAGATGAGGAAAATGACACTTAAATAGGTCACTCTGGTCACCTGGCACAGAGGGGGCAGAACCGGCACGTGAACCAGGCAGGGCTGCCAGTGGCTGCGCAAAGCCCCTCCCTAAGGATCATCTGTCTGACCCCCTCTGCAACACAACCGGCTTGTCAGCTGTAGGGGGCAGAGGACACATGGTGCCCGCTGTGCCCAGCACATGGTGGAGCCCTCAGATCGCCTGTGGAGCAGACGAACGGCACCGTGAGCGAGGAATGAGGCGGACACTCCTTACGAACTATTTCAGATGAGTCCACGTTCCTGTGACTTTGGGAGCTTCCTTTCTCAGGCAGGGATGTATATGGGGCAGGGTGAGATTCTGATCAACAAAACCCGTGCAGTGGTGGAGACGGAGGACGCTTGTCTTAGTGACTTGTCCCGAGCTTTGCCGTAACAAGCGGAGGAGAACGGAAGCTGTTCTCCTTCCTGACACTTGGGCAGGCCACAGCTCACGTCCAGACTGCTTGCTTACAGGTCAAAGGTCTGGACCACACCTGGCACTGGAGGCAGGGCGAAGGACAGGCTGTCAGAGATCATCTCAGGTTCCTGGGAATCCCGATGTGGTGACGTAAGATGTGGCAGGCCCCAGCTCCCCCCACCAGGATGTTGGCCAAACAAGACCCGGGGAGCCAATCGGTTCAAATCAGCTAAATGCAACATGGCGACTGTTTTGCCCTCAAGGAGGCTTGAACCCTCATTATAACGCAGCAGCATGGTAAAATCACTCCCCCCTCACACCATGACCGTTTACAGTTGTCATGACAATGCAGACATGATCAAATAAGGGGAGGAAAGAGGTAGAGCCCTAATCCCTGTGAGTCTCCCCCTCTTCCCTGGAACTGTTAGAGTATTCCGCTCAGATATTAACCTATATTGTCATCCCCCACAAACAGGAACTGAAACACACCAGGGAGTCGCCTGTTTTTGCCACTTTCCTTAATAAAACCCTCTTGCTCTCACTGTGCTGGCTGTGCCTGATCCTATAGCTTTCGCCCAAGGCAAGGACCCTCCTGAGGCTGTGGGGCCCCACAGGGTATCAGTGGAGGGGCCCCACTCTGGTTTTCTAGGGCGTTCATGACCTTCATCCACATGAGGACCCACTCGGAAAGCTGCCCCTGACACTGCCAGACGTCCACCTCCTAGGAGACAGATCCCACTGCAGCCCTGTGGCTGCTTCTCAACGCCCCATCCCACCTCCTAGGAGACAGATCCCACTGCAGCCCTGTGGCTGCTTCTCAACGCCCCATCCCACCTCCTAGCGCCCCACTCCTTCCCAGGGATCCATGGAAACCATGGAGTCCTCTCCATACCTCTGGGGACCAGTGACTGCAAGGAGAGAGGGTGCTCCATGTAGTCCTGTCATCGCCCTAGAAGAGATGGGGCAACCTCTCTCCCTTCCAGGCAGGGCCTACTCCAGTCAGTCTCTGATGGCAAAAGTCTCCCGAACAGAGGCAGACACTGGCTGCTGTGTCCACCCACAGCCCTCAGCTGAGAGATGCTCACCAATCCCTCACTGTGCACGAGCAACCAAAGATCTGCTGGGCCGGGGAACTCCATCCTCCCCTGCCCGACAGAGGGGACAAAAACCTGCTCCGAATTTCTTCACCCTACCAGTCATTTTCTCCTTTAGTTGGGGAGCCAGGGCCACTTCTGGGGTCTCGGGTTGGGAAGAAGTTTAGAATAAGCTTTGTGACCCAATGATATTAAGTAAAACTCCCATTACCCCATTTTATACATTAAAAAGTGGAGAATGCTACCTAAAACTTTTAGGACTTGAGAGACATGAAAAGATGGTTGTTATCTAAAGTACACTGCTTGGGTAAGGGGCTGGAAGATTTCTAGATCATGCTGTTGTACCAATAACAGTCACCTGGGTAAGGTCAGAAAACCACATAAGGCCTCCCCAAACGCCACCCTATTACAGATCAGGACTGGGGGTGAAGACTGTCTCAAAGTCCTTGCTATGCAAGACTGCATCTCAGGGGGGCCCAGCTGCCCCAGCCTGAACCCCCTGTACAAGCCCACCGTCAGTTCCAGGCTAGCTCCAGGACTATTAAATGTCCATCACACTTAAGTTCACACACCTGGACAGGACTCCAAGTCTACCAAACTGGAATTTTACTACACTAAACATAACTCATCTACATAGAGAGCCATAAAAACTGAATCTTATGGGCCAGCACTGTGGTATAGCAGGTTAAGCCTCTACCTGTGGTGCCAACATCCCATATGCTACTGGTTCCAGCCCTAGCTGCTTCACTTTGATCCAGCTCCCAGCTAATAGCCTGGGAAAGCAGCAGCAGAAGGCCCACGTTCTTGGGCTCCTGCACCCACGTGGGAAACCCAGAAGAAGCTCCTGGATCCCAGCTCTGGCCTGGCCCAGTGCTGGTGCGCTCCATCCATTGTGACCATCTGGGCAGTGACCCAGCGGAAGGAAGACCTATGTCTCCCCCTGCCTGTCTGTAACTCTGCCTCTCAAATAAACAAATTGACCTTTCTCTCTGTCTCTCTCACTGTCCACTCTGCCTGTCAAAAAAAAAAATTGAATTTTATTTTTAGTTTTATATTTATGGGTGGTGGGCATTTGGCCTGGCAGTTAAAACACCAGGGAAGGTGCCTGTGTTCTGTCAGAGTGCCTGGGTTCAATGCCAGCTGCAAGCTCCTGGCTCCAGCTTCACCATGATGTAGACCTTGGGGTGGGGGGTGATGGCTCAAATGGTTGCATTCCTGAAACCCACCTGGGGAGGGGGTAGGGTAGTTCTCAGCTCCCAACTCTGGCCTCAGCACAGCCCTGGCCATCGAACCAGCAGATGGGAGCTTACCATATCTG